GACGGGTAAATACCCGTCGCCAATGTTTGTATTGGCGACGGATTTGATTTCCGTCGCCAATACCCCGTCGCCAATACTCTATTTTCTACTAGCTAGCATATGTTGATCATGATGACATAGTCTTTGTATATAAACCAATTCAAAGATGAATTTAGAAAATTTGGCTGACTATATATGACTCCCTAGTTGTTTTCATGAACAGGATTCATGGCCAACAACTTTGCTAGCATAAATAGATAGCATCCTTTTGTACATTCTGAAATTGATCAATGATTTGTGACTGATTTGGCAAAACTGACAAGCTACTAACTGGACAAAATGATGTTCTTATTGGTTCCTTTCTCATTGATCATGAAATTCTAGAACGATAAACACTTTCGATTTTATGTACATCAATAATTTGATTCCTACATATATATTGTTCTATGTAATTCCTGATCGATATAAGCTTTTTGTCCTTCACTTTCTACGGTATCTAAATAAGTTTTTTGTTCATAATTTTTGAGCAGATAATGCTATTTTAAGGCCAGCTACGTAGCTAGTATTCTTTCAATGGGTACAATTCTCATGCACACACATTCAAAGCTTTCGAAATTTTTTTGCCATAAGTTTTCTTGCCATGAATTTGAGAGATAGATACACTTACACTGCAGCTTCACCGTGAAGGGCAAAAAAAATATTCTTATGTACAATAAGATTTTACATGAGTTAATACATGCTTATTGAGGAAAATAATTTAATTTATACATGCTTATTGAGAAAAATAATTGACATTTATTCCGAAGTAAATCAAAATCTTCATATTTTATTATATTTTTCATGATGGACCATCTAAAAAGCTGTTAATGGAGTTGCACTACTACAAACTGTATATGGTGACTTATAAAGTTCCTGCAAACACAAGTTCAATGTAAAATTAGTATTCTACAATCATCACAGTATATGGTGACTTATAAAGTTCCTGCAAACACAAGTTCAATGTAAAATTAGTATTCTACAATCATCACATAATGTTGGTAAATATGCACATGATGCAAACACAAGTTCAATGTAAAATTAGTATTCTACAATCATCACATAATGTTGGTAAATATGCACATGAAAACCATAGGTTTATAGTTGAAGCACAACTAAAATCAAAGTCATACAAATAATTACAAGTTTGGACAAGTTTGTTGAGAAGCTAAGAGCATGGCAAACAAAACTCCTCAAGTTCAGCAAGAAAAAATAAGATTGGGACAGGTAACAACTATCATATGATAAATCAAATGAATGACATTAATAACTAATAACAGAAATTTAACTCCCTTCCCTTCCCTTCCCTTCTCTCAGTTTCCCTTAACTTCCCTTCACCCCCTACAAATCCAAACAGGCCCTTACAGAAACTACAAGCATGTTGATTTATCCAATAAACAATAAAACTTTGCCCTTGTTTATGATCAGTTCTATCAAGACCACCAATACATTTTCACAAATCCCTCTTCACAGTTTGATGCCAACACAGTTTCCCCAACTAAAAAAGAAAATCGCACTTTGAAGAAATCAACAATTAGAAAAAGAAAATCAAGAAATTTTATCCCTACCATCCAAAAACTATAGTTTTTAACAGAGAAAATTCGTACCTGTAACAAAATGAAAAACACATCATGCACAACCAATCAAGATGACAACTCTAACCTTCATAAGCATCAACAATTTATCTGTTATACCCAAAAGAAATTAGAAAAATTAAAAAAACGTGTTTTGAGAACCTTACCAGGTGATTATGGCTACCATCGAGCAACGCGGACAGAAAAGAAAAATCTGAAGAAAGAAATAGAAACACCATCAAGAATAGTAGATCAAATTGGCCATGGATCAAAAATAAGAGACCCTAGTTAACGAACTGTGATTTACCTCTTTGGAGCTGCATTTAAATGACTAGAACCGTAGATCGAGCTGTGAGAATGAACTTGAGAGTTAAGAGACTTACAAATCAGGTGTCCGACGAAGATGAGGAGGAGGAGAGGCGGCGAGGTTCGATTTGGGAGGAAGAACTAGGGTTTTTATGGGGATTCGGCGGAAAATTACAAGGTCTACGACGGAGGAGAAGCTCGATGGCGGTGGCGAACTCCAACGGAGGCAGCGGCGAACTTCGATCTCTACGACGGAGGAGAAGCTCGATGGCGGTGGCGAACTCCAACGGAGGCAGCGGCGAACTTCGATCAAAGAAGGCACAAGGGGGGGCAATTTTTTGATGAGAGAGAGAGAGCGAGCGAGAGAGAGAGAGAACGGGGGTTTTGGGGGGATTTGTTGGTTTTTTTCTTTTTTCGCCAAAAAAATGGGGGCAAATTTCCCTCCGTTGGGCGTGTAGCATAAATCCACTTGCCCCAACGGTTTAAACCGTTAGGGCTGATAAATCCAGCCCCAACAGTTGTATACAACCGTTGGGGCAGGACATCTTTTTACTAGTGTTGGTTAGCATGGCCATGATCATGCTTAGACTATTCCCTAAATCCATGTTTTTAGAAGTTGTTTTTGATAAATTATTTTATGTAGGTTAGCATGGCCCTTAACTACATAAGAGATAAGCATTGGATGTATGTAGGTCGTGTAGACTTATATAGCGTGTGTACCTACATCATTAGGCGAGAGAGTGTAGGAGAGATCTCGAATCTGTTCATGTTGCTACATTTGTCCCTAGCATTGGGGAGTTTACTCTAGCCAGAGGCAACTATTTAATTTTCTTTTGATTCCGTTTTAACATGACACCTAATCTTTGTCCCTTATTTTTATCTCTTTACTTTGTATTTTTATTATCACAATTGTGCTACTCCTACTATTTAATAGAACCGTTTTACCTTGATTAACAAATCGGCATCAGAAGCCGAAAATAATTTACTGGCGACACCCCCCCCTACCCCCACACACTCCATACCTTCTGGACAATCATCAGGTTATATTTTTAGTGTATTAGAATCATGCCGAAGAAGAAACTAAACATGTGTATGTATAACACTAATTTTTTTAGTCAATGAAGAATATTTTTTTTCATTTACCAAATTTGAAAGTGTATGTACATCAAGATTCTCTATACTGAGAAATCAGAATGAAGAAGAAAACAACAACACTTGCTACATTTTCATAAAGAGAGTATCCACTCTCTATTCTCCACCCTATTGTTGTTGTTAAGAACTATAGTAAAAATGTCAAACTTAAAGTCTCTCACTAACTGATCAACACCTCTACTTTTCATCTAGAAGATCCTCATGTTTCGTTCAATCCATACCTTGTATATTGTTGCATTCAGATCCATTCTTTTAATCTTCTGTTTGAAACCTTTGCCCCTCAAGCTTTTATTGTAGCAATCCAATAACATTACCCAGTTACAGGATTTCCATCTAAATTGCAGCCAACCCATGATCTTGTTCCAAACTTCCTTCGAGTATACACACTCAAAGAACAAGTGATTCCTTGACTCCAAACCTGCACCATCACATAAGCAACACTAGTTGTTTTGAGCAATCCCTCAGCTGAGTAATTTGTCCAGCGTAAGCAATCTATTTTGAACAGCCAACCAACAAATGAAAGAGTG